AGTTGTACTTTATATGCAGATGGCATTTCAGTGCTGATGCCCGATAGAGAATAATGTTCATATACAGCCTTGACGCACGTCTGTCAAACCATGCTTCTTGAATCGACGTCGCCCGACAAGCAGGACACTTTACCTCAGAGTCGCGACAAAGTCAGAATTTTCTGATTTCAGACTTCCCCACCCAAAAAAATAAAAAAATAACTGCAATAATTCTCCAATTTATTCTCAGATCTACCCAAGTAGTCGCTTCTCTTCTGGTTTATCAAGAAACATTTTATATGCATTTGAATGTTCTCATTCTCCCTGATTTGATTACCGTGATAGTGTTTCATGAAAAGTAATAATTATAAAGTTACTCCACGTGTCATTTTGTTACACCCTGTTGTTTCATATCACTTATGCCTAACTATTTTCCTTGGACTTCAAGAAAAATCAAAGATTCAGCTAATTGAAATACGTCAAATTCATATATTTCTTGGACGCAAAGGATTTGTCATAAAATAGTTCAATTTCTCCAGTTCAATCCACTTCACATCAACACATTCTGTTTTCCCAAGATACGTATTATAGTCCCATATTCTCTTTCCGGGTATTCAAAATGAGCGAGGCGTTGGAACCTAGACCTCGGACTACATAAACCGGACCGGAAACTGTCACACTAGCTCCTGGTAAAGTTCAATAAAATAGCGAATAGCTTATCGCCACTTTTCATCCATCTGACGACATGCCTTGAATTCCTGCCACGGTCACAGACCCTGTGACGTATTCGACCCCTGCTGGCGACAGCCTGAATCTTAATGAATCCGTCTTCGGCATAAACAATACCACACAATGACCATAACGCGCTGGCTTTAAATACAACATACCGTTTTCATTCTGTACAGGGTGACGCAAAAAACTGATCCCTTGGCTTGAAAAAATACTTCCGGGCGGAGATGTGGCACTTTCGTCGTGTCGTGCGTCATTCTGCGACCTTACGACGCCGTGGTTCTCAGCACTCGAATTAGATACACGAAGAACGAAAAGAGTCTCTAACAGAAGATATTGTAAAAATGAACGCGGAGGAAATGTCATTAACCTTTTGAAACCGAAGCTCGTCTTAATTACGTTCATATACACAGTTCGTACATCAAAGTAGACAACCCATAACTATTAATTGGTTAAAAATAATAATTATTTACTCTGTGAATAATATAAAAGCGACAGATATACCTTGTGTGCAAAACACACAAATTGTTAAAGCTGGTGGTACATGATTCAAATGCAAAGTGAATAAATCGAGAAGGAAATGCAATGAGATGTAGATGCACGGTTTTTATTCGAGCGGAAACTTCAACGCACGATAAAACCACTACTACTTACTAATCTCACAGAATATCTGTAAGAATATTTTGACCGAATTACAGGAATGTGGAGGAAAATGCTTTTCGGATTTGTACTCTTAACTGTGATTAAATCAAGGAGTATGAGATGAAACACATCAACAGAAAGACAACCTCAGACCTAGTGGTAGATGGGGGGGATAAAAAAATCTTAAAAGAAATAGGGTGTGGGCTAGATTCAACTGGCTCATGACAGCGGGCTCTTATAAACACGAAATGACTGTCGCCCTGATGATGGTAGCAGCAAGCACTTACGAAAAGCCAGTCAATTTCTATCAGTTCAAACGAAGCAGCATCTTAGAAGAACCTGAAATCTCAACACGGTAATGAACCTCAGGGGTATATAAAATGTCGAAATTTGACTAGCTGAACGACAAACAGCTTCTCAGAAGGACTGTGCCCCACCACGTTAAGTTCTTTACAGCAACAAGGAGCTTACTTCTAGACTGTTCGTAGGCACTTTTGGGCCATGCTGTGTCTCTGTGCCTGCAGACAGGAGAGCAATCTTAGACAAGTACTTTAACGAGTGTCTCTCATTGTTCGCCTAGAATATGGCGACAGTCATCGGGGACCTTTCTCCGCTTGACGACGACAAACGTTTTATGACACTAAAATCATTAATCATCTCAGTTTCACTTCACAAGAAGAATTACATAAACCACGGCTACTAGAAGTTCTCCTTCTCAAAGTACGTTGAACTTAAAGTCCGTACAGTACGGAAATCTTACCAGCACGCAAGCCTACAGCACGAGAAAGAAATCCAGACGTTCTGGGAATCACAAATAAATGTTTATTCTTCAACCCTTGAAGGCCCCGTGGTAACTGTATGTGTCACATGCTTTAACATTCAGTAAACCTTTGTATGTTTAGCATGAATCACGGAAAAATCAACTATTATCTCCTTTAACAGCATTTACCAACTGGTCTTTGTATTGGCGAAATGTGGTGTTTACTTTGCGGTACGGACCGAAATTTAAAGTAATATTTAGACGTGCTAAGGGTTTCAGGTGGTTGGGGAGACAATAATTATTGGTACGTATGAAGAGTCCCAGCTAATTAACTCCTCCCCTCATACAAAATAAAATAAAATAAAAGTCTGCTGGCGAAAATGTATTCCTTCGCAGGTAATTTTATAATCCACTATTCACCAGGAGTTTGGGTGATCAAATTGTGGATGAAAACGGACAGGGCATGAGAAACGTATACAAAATTTTAGTCGGAAAGCCTGGAAGACCCTTACATAGGTGGGAGGATAATATTAAAATTAATGCTAAATAAATATTGTATGAGCATGTGGACTACGTTAAATTGGCCCAGGTAACGGTTCAGTGGTGGTCTCTGGTGAACACTTTTACAATTTCTTGATTATTTTCTTAAAAAACGTTTTCACAAGAGTTATTTGCCACTTTGATATCTGGTAGCGATGTCAATACAGAGCAATGCTGACAACTCCATATTTTTGTCGCTAAATATACTGGTTCCATACCAGAACAAATGGCTTTGAGATTTATCTTTACGGCA